GTAAATACAGAGCAACAGCTCAGCAACCCAGCGTGAAGCAACAGCTACGAACCCTCACAAAATGCAGAGTAATTAAAATTGGTGTTGCACAGCCCTCCTCAGTGGGTACCTTTCCAAGGAAAGCAATGACTTTATTGTGGAAAAATATAAACACAAATTTGGAGATGTAAATTACATGCATGTTTTAATCTTGTTCATAAACACTGAAAGTTTTAAAAATGTAAATATAATCAAAGTGCACAACTGCAGCTGAAACCAGATTTGAGAAGGATTTTGAGAAAGAAAGAAGGTGAAAGGCCCTGCAGTCTCCCCGACCCTCACACCCTGCCCATCCCAACCCTACCTACCCATCTCCCCCTCACCCCACCTTTGTGGATTCGGAAAAGAAGAGATAGAATTCTGCCCTCCAGTTTCTGAGGACACAAATCCTTGTCTTTAATTTGTCAGCATCACAGAAGAGATGGTTAGTATTAACCCTTTCTCTCCATTTCCTCTCCTGCCTTAACCCTTTTGGTCTATGCGTGTGATGTTTGAGGTTAATGAGTACGATCCACAGTGACTAAGCATTGGATAATTTGCAGCATGGGAATGAAGGAGGAAATTTATCCAAACACTATCCAGATTCTTCTATTTCCATACTTTAAGCACGAGAGTGACCTCAAGTAGAGCCAGCTCTAAAGGTTGAGCTTGGAGAAATAGCATTAGATAGTAGAAAACTGACTGCAGTGGTGTTGAAGAAATGTGTGTGGGTTCTACCCTGACTGTCCTTTGTTGCCAAAACTGATTTTGGGCAAGAATCTTCACTTCACTGGGCCACAGCTTCTCCATCTGAGCTGTAAGATTCTTCCATTTCAACCTTTCTGTAATATTATGCCTCATGGATCCACTCCAATCTAAATGGGGCCTGGGAAATTCAACCCCAATGTGGTACCCTTCCCCAGGTGGCCCCAGGAGTCAGAAATGTTCCAGACAAGGGCCAAGATTTTCCTCTGCCAAAGCTCCTCCACTCTGTAATTTAAAGCCAGGACTCCCTGAGACTTTGGTAGGAAGTCTTTTGTCCTGGCCTCAGTTCTGCACCTGCTCAGCTGGGCAAGGGACCTTCCCAGGAGGGAATGACCTGATGTCTGGCCAGACCATCAAAGTTCACATTTGGAGTTGCCATCGAGATGACCCAGTGTAACAATTCTGCATATTTCATCTACATTGATGAGGGAAATATTTAGCAGGGCTTTTATATCCTGTTCCTCTCTCAGTGTGTTCCCTCTTCAGAGTAGGGTAGTGGAAATTTATAGGATTATGGGGAGAGATACTAAGGGCCACCTGTCATTGATATAAATCATTTCAAATGAAATTATAGTGTGGTATTCAGGGGAAGCTTAGTTTCAAGGAACGAAACATATCAAGAGTCTTTGTAGTAAGTTGTGTACCTGGGTGAGTCCACCAGGAGAGCATGAAGTCAAGTTTTCCTTGATTGGTTGTTTTAAGGTGGAAAATAAAAAGTACATTGAGAATTTAGCATTTGCTCTCCCAGTATATTACATGGTAGGAAAGGGTTGGGATTTGGAAGTAGGGTAAGAGAAATGGTTGTGGGTTTGAAGATTCGTTTTCCAATTCGACCACTGATTCCCACCTGAGCTCTGAAGGAGGTCAGTTCAAAGGACCATTGAGCCCTGGCCTGGCTGAGGCTTCACCACATAGCCTTTGTGATGGTTGCCTCTGGCTGCCCTGGAAAGGAAACAGGGTTTGGGCTGGTTCCAAAAAGAGCTCTCTGATCTAATTTGATTGGAGTAGCAGAACGGTGAAATTTCCAGAGCAGTCCCGGGATAAGGCATTGGGAACAGAAGTTGGGGGTGTATTAGATGTATGTTGCCAAACTGGAACTTTTGGGAAAACAGGAGAAGGGATGAATATAGGCAAGAGGAATGAAATATTAGCAAAAAGCTTTGGGTCTTCTAATCTTATCACGATATTTAACACTGCTTCTCTTGTTTTATAAGGATAGACATATATGTTATGTTCATGCACTGTTAGCAGCAGTAGTTGTGCTTTGCACATTTCATTATTGATTTTTTTTCATGATGAGACTAGAAAGGAGTAATTTACACAAAGATAATGTTCCTGTTTTAACTAAAACATCAAATAATCCATAAGGAAATAAACTTCACCTAAAAGTTCTCAAACTGTTGGATTAAAGTCCTAAATATAAAAACCCAAACTATAAAACTCTTAAAAGAACACATGGGTACATCTTTATAACCTTGGATTTGGCAATGACCTCTTAGACGCGACACCAAGAGCAAAGCAATAAAGAGAAAAATAGGTAAGTTGGACTTCATCAAATTAAAAATTTTGTGCGTCCGTGAACACTATCAAGAGGGTGAGAATACATTCCAAAGAATGGGTAAAAATATGTGCAAATCATGTATCTGATAAGGTCCTAGTATCCAAGATATATAAAGAACTCTTAAAACAATAAAAAGTTAACAAACCCAATTTAAAAGTGGGCAAAAGACATTTCTCCAGAGAAGATACACAAATGGCCAAAATGCACATGAAAAGATGCTCAACATCATTAGTCCTTAGGAAGACGCAGATTAAAGTCTCAACACAATACCATTTTACACCCATTAGGATGCCTATTATACAAAACACAACAAAACCAGAAAATAACAAGTGTTGGTTAAGATGTGGAGAAAGTAGAACCTTCATACATTGCTAGTAGGAATATAAAGTGGTACAGCCAGTATGGAAAACAATTTGGCAGCTCCTCAAAAAGCTAAGCATAGAATTGCCATATGATCCACCAATTCAACTTGTAGTTCTATACCCAAAAGACGTGGGTATTCAAACAAAAACTTGTGTACAGATGTTTATAGAAGTGCTATCACAACGGCCAAAGTGGAAAAACCAAAATGTCCATCAACTGGATAAACAAAACGTGGTCTTGTCCATACAATAGAATGTTACTCAGCCACAAAAAGGAATAAAATAGACATAGGTTACAACATGGATGAACCTTGAAAACATTATCCTAAGTGGAACCAGCCAGGCACAAAAGGCCATGTGTTATATGATTCATTTATATGAAATATTTAGAATAGAAAAATCCGTAGTAACAGAAAGTAGATTAGTGGTTACCAGGAGCTGGGGAGAGGGAGGAATGGCGACTTACTGCTTAAGGGGCATGGGGCCTCCATTCAGGGTGACGAAAACGTTCCTGAACTAGATAGTGGTGACATTGTGAATGTATTTAAGGCCAGGAAATTATACACTTTAAAATGGTTAAAATAGTAAAGATTCTGTTATGTGTGTTTTACCATTTCCAGACTCTATAAACATCATAGAAACTCTGGTAATTTGACAAACAGATGAGCTCAGGTTTGCCGAGGAGATGCATATATTTGAAGCAGCCTTTGGGACTGGGGAAAGCTTCTGGAAGAGAAAATGTACGTGACTGAGGATGAATCCTGCTTCCTGGTCCAGACTTGCTGTTCTGTGGCCTGGGGCGAGTCGTGTAAACTCTCTGAGCCTCAGTTGGGAGCCTTGGACAAACCTTCTATTTCTGGGTGGGAAAAATCTCAATCACTTGTGGGAGCTTTTCAAGCCTCACACACTTGCATTCACCTTGGCCTCTTACCCAGTGTGAAGGGTGGAATATTTCTGATGGAACGCTCTACTATCAGGAAGAGCGGGTGGGGGACACACACAGGGGTCTGGGAGTGTGAAAGTACACTTTCTGGTAGCGCCTTTGTAATACTGAGAAGTCCTGGAGCTGGTGGTGATAGCGCTCGCACTCCTGGGAAGGGCAGGAGGTAGATTCATTCATTCCTTCCTATGCCGCCCACTGGCAGATATCCACACTGAAAGACACAGAGCCCCTGAGTGGGTGGAGTGTCTGTCCTAGAGGGAGGAGAGATCATTCCAGAGTCCATCTGTGAACTGCAGTTGTGGTGAGTGTGCTGAAGAAACAGTAAATGCTGCGTGGATGAGTATTCCAGGGCTAGGGATGCTCTGAGGAAGTCATGGTTGACCTGCCTCTGAAGGAGGACTTGGAATGAACCAGGAAAACCAGGAAGGTGCAGACCAGCATTCCTGGGGGAGAGAGAACCGTGAGGGGGAAGGAAAGCAGAGTGGGCTTGGGGAAGACATGGCAAAGAAAGCCTCATGCTGGGAGGTCATGCTGAGTCGTGGTCAATGTCATTGAATTAAAAGGCCAGGGAAGTATTTTGCTGAGACCACAGTAGGCACTTGTACCAGCAAATGCTGCTTTCACGCCCCCACAAAACTACCTCCTGTGCTCTGGGAGTACGTTACCAGCAGTAACCACACAGCATCTCTGAAACTGAAAATGGTCCCCAGAGTTGGCTGTGACCTGAAGCCACCGTTCCTCGGAGCCTATACCATCTCCCCAGCACAGGGCAGTGTGGGTTACAGAACCAGTGGCTCTGGAGTGTGACACCCAGCCTACCCTGAGAGTGCTGGGAGAATGTGTCTCCTTTTGGTCTTTTGGGTCTTGGCCCATCACCCAGTAAATCTAGGCTCTGAGGATGGTAGAACTACCAAGAGTTTCAGTTGTATTCGGCAGGACCATTGCATGTATTTGGTGGGTGGACTGGATCCATCTTTGTGGTGTAGGCCACATTTGCTTCCACACTTTGATGGAACCCAAGGTGAATGGAGCTCATACCTGCCAGTCATGTGCTGTACTCCTAGGAGGCTTCCCTGCTTAGAGTTGACGTGGTTGGAGGGCCCAGCGCTGCAACTCTGGGGCGTGTGCGATGCTCCCGGCCGCCCTGTCCACGGTGCAGCAGTGGGGAAGGGAGGATGGTCACAGCCTTGATTGGAGTTGTCCTATTAAGGAAGGGAGCTCATCTGTAAGTCCTACTTTAGGCAAGGCCCCCTGTCCAAACTCTATTAAATTTGGAGGCTTATGGGTCATTTCTTCTCTGTAACCATAAGTCTGTTCCATCTGGCTTAATGTTTTTTCCCTTTGCTTGCAGGAGAGTAGATCTGGAGAAACCAACAGCTGTGTTGAAGAAATAATTCGGGTAAGGATATTCTTTTACAAATCTTACCAACTGGTTGACATAGATTCCAAATAGAAGGAGGTGCAGCTGCAGTGTCAAAGTGAGCCCGTTGTTCATGTGTTGTCTGATCTTTACCCTTTCTGAGGGTAATCACCTAAGTTGCCTAAATAACAGTACTTTACAAAACAACTTCTAAAGCTTCTTTTAGAAACCTAGGAGCTACACCTTAATCTGGTCCCTTTGCACAGGCTGAGGTGACACTGTGTTAAAGGAATCAGTCAGCTGGAAGACAGAACAACAGAGTTGAGATGAAAAATATGATTGTGTTCACATTTGGATGCCCCCATTTATCACCCTACTATTTAAAAGCATCTTTCAATAGTCTGTGCTTTCCAGTCAGGCAGGGGTTGCCTGGTTATTTTTCTCCCAAACTTAATTAGAATCAGAAGCACTCTGACAAAGAGGTGATGCTCAGTGTTGAGAATTTATTTCTGTATTGTTGTGCGTGTTATTATTTTTGCCTGTTACTCTCTGTAAGCCTGTCCTTCTCATCATCCTCATCTCGCAGGCACAGCCTCTGTGAACTGGCTTCACGCGCAGATGCACTTAGGCTGGGCTGTTCTGCCCCGTTAGTGTTCTCCAGAGCACTCAAACTTATAATCAGGATGTCCTCTTCAGCCTGTATTTTGTCTTCAGTCATATTTGTCATCGGAATAACCTAATAATTCATAGCTCTCAGAAAGCTGATATTACACTGGGCAAAACACCAAGGCAGATCAGACCAGATGGTGTGGCAATTCTCTATAAAGAAAAAGAAAAACTTTATTTTAATCTGTTTGTAACTTTTGGGCATCCTACACACTTTTTCTTGAATGGCTAGTGAATTACAGTAATATGGTTATGTGGTTTAAAATTTTACATTAACCATCAAATTGTTTTCAGCGGTAGGATTTTTATTTCTTCCTGGAAAGCATTATTTCGTAAATAAACTTTTTCACTCTCGAATTGATTAAAATAACTCATTGAAGTTTGATTTGATGAATTCATAATGATTTTTGTTTTTCTGGGAGAGATTTATATAGAAAGCAGTTGTCAAAGTGTGGTAGCTTCATTTCTGGCATTTAATTATATGTTGAATAAAATACGTGTTGTATTTTACATCTAAATTATCTCTATCTTGGGGCCTTGTTTCAGGTTAAACACAGATAGTGTAAAATGCAGATGTACTTTTCCTATTTTTCTCTTTTAACATACTTTCATGTTTGGGGTCCCAATATTCAGTGTTCAAGCCATCTTCCTTTGATTGGTTATGGTGTTTATATCTGCAAAATGATAATACCACAACACACCAATCCCCTCTTTGGTTTCTCTGTTTATGTTTAAAAAATCCTACCCCTTCTCATCCTTTCTTATCTTTTCTGAGGATATGGAAGAACTCTGTTGTTTGACCTTTCTGTCCTATATTCTAAGCAGGGCTTGAAGTTTATAAAGAGCTTGAGTGTTTCTCATACCATAACAATATACTTTAGAGAAGCAGTCCACAACCTTTTCGGCACCAGGGACTGCTTTTGTGGAAGACATTTTTCCACGGGGGTGGGGGGATGGTTTTGGGATGATTCAAGCGCATTACATTTATTGTGCACTTTATTTCTATTATTATTACATAGTAATATATAATGAAATAATTATACAACTCACCGTAATGCTGACAGGAGGCAGAGCTCAGGCGGTAACGCGAGCGATGGGGAGCGGCTGTAAATACAGATCAAGCTTCGTTTGCTCACCCGCAGCTCACCTCCTGCTGTGTGACCCGGTTCCTAATAGCCACGGAGCAGTGCCAGTCTGTGGCCTGTGGTATGGGGACCCCTGCTTTAGACAGTGCAAAATTCACTTCAAATAAAACTGAATGCTGGGGCTTCTCTGGTGGCGCAGTGGTTGAGAGTCCTCCTGCCACTGCAGGGGACACGGGTTTGTGCCCCGGTCCGGGAAGATCTCTTCCACGTGCCGCGGAGCGGCTGGGCCCGTGAGCCATGGCCGCTGAGTCTGCGCGTCCAGAGCCTGTGCTCCGCAACGGGAGAGGCCGCAACAGTGAGAGGCCTGCGTACCGCAAAAAACCCCCAAAAAACTGAATGCTGTTAGTCAAGAGTTTAAAGCGTTATTTATTTTTTTCTTAAGAAAGCTGATGAGAGCCTGGCACCCCGGCCCCACTCTCCTACCTTCCCACAGTACTGACCCCGAATCCATCACACCACGGGTGCCGCCCCTGCCTGCCTTGAATCAGGCGTGGAACAAGAGGAAAAGCCTGGACCAGTGAGAGAATTGATTTATGTGTACGCGCAGGGTCATCGGAAGACAGCTGAGCTCTGAGCTCCACACTTCCCAGAGCTTGTGAGGAGTGTTCCAAAGAGGAGATGGTATAGACTGGGAAGTGATGGTGGTGCTGGTGCTGTCACGTGAGCATCTTTTTCTCCCCTCACCTGGCAGTCTAAGGTGTTAGTAGTGCTCTAACTTCAGGAGCTCCTAGAGGATCATGTCTGTGTTCCCAGTTTTGCCTGGAATGTTTTTCTGGCTGTCACCTGCCTCTCACACCAGGCAGCCCCAGGATCGTCTTCCCCTCTTATTCTGAGCCTCTCTCCTGCAAACACAAGCACAGGGCGCCTTCTCAGTTACAGCCTGTTGGATTTGTTGTGTATCTGCCACACATCAGTATTCTTCCCACACGGTGGCCCTAATGTTTGGAATTTAGAATTCACGATTTTGTGGAATGAATAAATAAATGAGTGAGTGAGTAAAAGAATCCTCCAAAGGAGAGCGATGAGTATCGTTGTGATGGCTCAGAGATTCCCTTTGCTATAAATCACAGACAAGATGTATTGGCCTTTTTAATGCTCGGTTCCTGTGAATCATCTTTGTGGAGTCCAATTTTCCTTACCGGCGTCTCTCCCCTTGGAATCAGCTCAGGTAAACGTGATGTCGTCAAGGTCACCAGAGGTGCTTACTACTTGCAGCCATCTCATTTTAAAAAGGCTGTCTCTTGTTGTGGAGGAAGATCAGGGTCATCAAAAATACCTTAAAATTATGAAAATGGAGATGGTCGTCGGACAAGTGTTTGCATGCCCTTTCCATGTGGGAGGTACTGGCAACAGCGGTGGGTTAGAGAGACATGACCCCTGGCCCTTTGGGAACCGACAATGTGCTGGAAGAGATAGATACTAAGTTTTTTTTTTTAATCTCATAAATAAATGTATAATGTGAATTGTGGTAAATACTCAGGGTTTTATGAGCGCTTACTCTAGGGTACATTACCGAATTTGGGGTCAAGAAATACTTCCCTGAGGAAGCAGCCCTTGAACTGAGCTGGAGGGTGAGTAGGAAAGCAACCTAAGGAAAATGGTGAAGCTTCCAAGCAGAGGGAATGAAGAGCTCGGCTTGTTAGAGACCCGGGAAGGAGAGAGAAGGCCCGCGTGGCTGGAGAGCAGGTGGGAAAAGCCAGGCAGGAGCGGCCAGTCGTGCTGTGCTTTCTCAGCCACATTCGAGAGACTCTAAGCACAGGGGAACCGGTGAAGGATTGGAGCTGGGAGCGATGTGATCAGATTGGCGGCGTAGATGCACCGTTCTGGCTGCTGTGAGGAGTGGCTTGAGGGGAAAATGGAAGAGGAATGTGGGGCTGATGCAGGTTCCAAGCAAGGGATGCTTGGTGGAGACACAGGAAGATTGAGGGAGATGCTGTGTTGGGTGGGGGAGAAGAGGACATCCTCTGTTAATTTTTAGACGTGCTGAGTTTGAGGTGCCTTTGTGATGTTCAAGTAGACGAGGAGAATGTAGAGGAACTCAGGACAGAGGTCTGAGCTGCAGGCCAGCATTTTGGATGAATTAGCACATTGGTAGTAAAACCACAGAATTGGGTACATTTGCCTGGAGAGAGACTTGAGGCCGAGAAGCAATGAGGGCCTGAATTCCACCATTTCAGGAGCAGGGAAGGGAGGAAGATCCACTGGCAAACGAACATGAGAGGGAGTGACTAGAGAAAATTGGGACCGTGGAAAGCCACAGAATTCAAGGGAAGAGAGTTTCTATCCAACAGGGTGCAGAGTTTCTGAGAGGACACGAAAAGATGAGGATCGAAAGCCACCCAACGGATTGGACAACAAAAAGGTCGTTGGTGACCTTATGGAGAGCTGTTTCTGTGGAGGAGAGGGGGCAGGGTCCAGACTGGAGAAAACTGAGAGGATGGAGTCCCTGAGTTTAGAGACCACTTGTGAGGAAAGGCAGTCGTTTCCGTTCCATTTATTTCCTACACAGTCACGACCACCAATGAGGATAGGCTAACATTTATTGAGCACTTACTATATCTGGGACACTCTTCCAAGCTTCTTGCATGTGTTTTCTCATTGGACCATCACAACTGCCTTCTGTGTAGTTGGGAACTATTATCATCCCCATTTTACAGAGGAAGAAACTGAGGCGAGGGGAGGTTAAACACAGCTGGCCAAGGGAACAGCTACCACACGGTAGAGCTGGGATTTTAACCAGCACCACAATCTGGGACCAGCACCCCCGCTTCTCTTACCTGCTGTGCTGTCTTATTAAAGGAAGAAGCCCCCCCCCCCCCCCCCGCTCATTCATGAAACCACTCAGGCATTTTGCTGTGAAAGGGAGGTTTCCCGTTCCCATGTGTGTATGGTCTGAAAGTGCCCGATCACGCGTGTGTGCACTTGAACTTAATGGAGGTTTTATGGCCAACGTCAGCAATCTCACCTTTGAACTTCTTTTTCCTCCCCCCTCTCTTATTTTTGCTGAGGTGACTGCTTTCAAGTCATTTGAATATTACATTATGTTCTCCAGTATAATTATTTTTTATCGTCACTCAGAGAATTTCAATCCTGGGACCTAGTAAATCTGTGTATTACTGCAAAATTCATTTAGAAGATGGGCAGTAAGGGCTGGGAGCCCTCATTGCTGACATATGTTTGTAACAGACAGTTTTCTGTTACACTGTATTTCATCCCTAAAGGCTCCAG